TTAAAAAACAATGTTATATATATATTTGAGGATGAAACATCTGTCATCCAATGCTTCGTTGATATCTGTCATAGTATCCATTATTGGTTACCAAAAAAATATATCTTCGACTTTTGCTTTAATTTACTAATAAAATTACTGGTATAAGCTATGTACTATCATTACCATTATATAGAGGGTATTTCTTATTACAAAGATCTATAAATACACCCGAATCATAGACTTCTCGAAAGGATGGAGCTCTGTCACCAAGATCACAGACTCGAAGAACATTTGACCAACAATTGGAGTGATCGACCAACGCTCTGAAATATAAATTATATTTACATGTTATTAACAGCAAATTTATTTAAAGAATATACAAATATAAATGTTTTATATTTTGTTTTAGTAAATAAAGAAGCGAAAATATGACTGCAGTGCCTCACCTTGACATTTATCTGAATTTAGGTACACGCATTTAACAACTTGACTAAATCGCACAAGTACATGCGATAAATTAATTAATGATAAAAAATATAAATTAATGATACTATGTATAGATTATTATAAATAAAAATTCAGACATGCATTTGGAAGGGTTAAATTCGAAGATTCTTCTTACTAAATTATTATTTACATCTCAAATTATTTTAGAAGAATTTTTTTCAAACTAACATAAAGTTTCAGTAGCAAAGAAGATTAACGCGCTTGGTTCAATAATCGAGTCTCAGGTTCAAACTAATTTTTTTAGAAATTACTAATCAAAAGTCTGATATATTCTAGTTTTAATTCATTTTATTTGAAAGACATGACCTAAACTTTTACCTGCAATATTCGATAACCTCTCTCTCAGTTTCAGGAAAATTTTCACTACCTCGGAACTTGCATGTTTGATATGGAAAATCCTTGCACAGGGCATTTTCACTATCATATTGAAACTGAGTCTCTACAGATAAATGTACAAATAAATAAGTAAAATAGTGTATTGGAATAAAACTGATGAAGATAAAGAAGCAAAAGCAAGCTCGTTTGAACACAGTTGAATAGCAATATGAAATGGACAGATCTAAATAATCATTTCCATAAATTGTAAATTTAAATCTAAATCAGAACATAAGTGATCTAATAAGTAAAATAATAGTATCGAGAAGTCCTTACAGTGAATGCAATGAGTGAAATCTGCATTCCATGGGATACAATGACCTCACTTGACGGGGACATGTCGCTCAATTACTTTATGACGAGTATTTACTTTAAAAATAACAATCGTATTCTTCATAAATACTGCACACCTAAATATTTCTCGATTTAATGGTTATAGAAACATGGTTCTTATTTAAGAAATTGTTTATATTCTTATCAATCATTCTCTTCATGGTAGTTTTCGTAATTTTAAAGTAAATTTGAGTTCACTATAAGCATTCCTTATGAAATAAGAGTATACTAGGAGGCTACGCCCCCTGCTCGCTGCCGCTCGCCAACCCCCGGAACTGCTTTTGCAGTTCATTTCGGATTGCTTCGCAATTCGATGCTCGCTTTGCTCGCTCATTGGATACGTTCTTAACGTCTAGCTTTTGTACACTTTTTTGAACACTGAAGTTCCGAAAACTTTTCGCTGTAGAAAATTCTAAACCTGTGCATTTCAATATTAATTTGAAATCGCAAACAGTTCACATATTTTTCTTAATCACACTATTCTAAATTTCAGTTGTTGAGAAAAGTAACTGTTGTAAGTTTTGTTTTAAAGTCTTACCCACCAGAGGGCTAAAACCATGTGTTGTAAAACAATATGAAATAGTACTGAACGCCGGATGTAAAGCATCGGCTTCGATGAAGAGAATTTTGGGAGAATATTTTTGATAATTCGGTGAGAATTCACCCGATTAGACATATGATGCTCACTACGTGCTCTTGCGCGCCGAAGCCTATCAATTAAAACGTATTAGCGTTTTATAGAATATAGATTAGCCATATGATGCTCACTACGTGCTCTTGCGCGCCGAAGCCCATCAATTAAAAATGAAAACTGTTGCCAACGCGAGAAAAGAAATATCATCGGTTTTATTGATACATACGTATTAGCGTTTTATGTAATATAGATTGTTAGGGCATTTGAATATGATATAACGTTAGTTAAATAGCAACTCGTATGAGACCACTTAAATAGTTAACTGCAACCAAGCGTTTATTACATTCCGAGTGTATCATAGCGGAGTTTGACTGGATATTGAGTTATAATAAAAATGCTTGCTTTAAGGACAAATACTGTGACACTCAAAAAATAGGAATTAATTCTAATCGTTTAGTAAAACAATTTGTGTCTCTCTATTCCAGTGAGTGGCTCTTTATATAAGTTTTAGCGATCTTTTAACAAACTTTTGCTTAAAGCAAAACATTTAGATAACATTTAAAAGCGGAATCAAAAAATTTGATGGTTAAACAGATTTTCGATTGCGTATTTTCTGCAGGTAGAATCTTTAAGCAATTAAAATTTCTTAGGTTTAATAGAACATTTATATATAGAACTTTGATTTGATTATTGGATGTTAATAACTGTAAAGATCGACCCATAAAGGATGGTGGAAGTTCGTACAAAAGTGCGTATTAAAGGAATTCGTGAAAAGATACAACGAAATCCACAACGCTCTGCTAATAAAATGGCTGCTGAAAAGAACGTGAGTCGGAGAATCGCCTTTATCTTAAAAGAAAATTTTAAAGTTTGACAAACTGCACAAAAATTAAAAAGGTGACAAAAATGTGAAAAATTGCTGAACCAGAATCCAAATATTTTGACAGAGTACTCTTTTCTGACAAGAAAATATTTTGATTAGAACAAAGATATAATGCTAAAAATAATGTTGTATATTCAGCAACCTTTGATGATACACCTGAAATGGTACGAACTGTGCAACGCTTTAAAAACAAGAATTCTATAATGGTTTAGGCTACAGTGTCAACTAACGGAGAATTATTTCCTCTGAAATTCATCGATAAAGGGTTAAAAAACAATGTTGAATATTACAAAAAGGAAGTATTAGATACACATTTATTGCCACATGCTGACAGATTGTATCTCAAAATCGATTGCATATTTTAGCAAGATTCTGCACTTCAACACCGAGCCACAACAGCACAGGCTTAGCTCCAGGTCTATTTTTCGAAATTTATTAAGCCAGAAGGGTGACCTCCTTCTTCATCGGATCTAAATCCTTTAGACTATTGTGTTTGGGGGATTCTAGTTGCCAATATATAGTCAATGCTAAGCAACACAGAAGTTTGGACACCCTCAGAGCTTCTTGATTACGTAAACGGGACAAATTACCTCTTAAAATGATTCGTAAAACGATTCGTGCCGGCATCGGACAATGACGTAAATGATTATCTTTAGTAAACAACAAGGAAAGTGGTGGATTCGAATTAATTTTTTCAAAAATAAACTTCCATTTATAGTGTTCATCATAGTTGTGTATTTATAATTCTCTATTTAAGATCAGTGCAATAAAATGATTCGATATTTGTAACAGAATTTTGTAGCTACCCTGTATTTTCCAGCAAAATTTTTAGTGTAATATCTGTCATTTGATCGAAAATTATTTCAAACTTTTATTCTACAATCTTCTACTCTTAGCGGATAATTGATAAAATATATACAGGTTGTTATCAAAATAATGAAAACACGTCATTGCAAAATATATGTAAGCACTTTTTCTTAAGTATCAAATATTTAAGAATATTTTACGTGGCATAATAGTTGGCAGCATTTACAAGATCATCATTAAAGCTCTTAGAAATGTTGTCCATCTTACCCATCCATAATTTTTTTCATCGACTAATGAGCGTATAAGTTAAACGTTCCTTTCCTTTTTCATTACTCAATATAGCTGAAGAAAAACATAATGATTTCAAAAGTGCTGATATTAAAACGAGAAAGAAGTTACTAAATTCTTTTCCTTATTTTGGTCAATCCGATTTATTTACAAGTAAAAATTGCATCATTTATAAACGCTACTATGGTCTTTCAAATTGTTAGAACAGTTTTGCCATGAAACATTTGCTGCTGAAAGAAAAACAGTTTACTTCGGGAGTGAGTATAGAATTGTTTCCATTATCTTGTTAACCACATCTAATAGTTTTAACCTTGAAATTGCTACGTCAAAAAATAATTAGAAATGATGCTGGATTAATCATTGGTTTATGTAATGCTATTTATAACAAAATATTTTAAATTTTGCTACGCATTTAGTACAGTTGATAAATAGTGTGCGCTATTTTCATATAATTTTTAATATTTTTAAGCATCTCTTACCTTGAGCGTATGCTGTTGCAAAAAGTAAGATGAAAAACATCTTATGATACGAATCAAGTTTGTTCCTGGGTTTGCACAGAAATAAGTAGAAGAAATAATCTTTAAATCATTGACTAACTTAAATGAACACATACAACGGAAATGTTTTCAGTTTCTTAATTAATGAGTTCCGGCATTATTGCTACTGAAAACTTTATTAGTTTCAAGGAGTCATTTTTATCAAGGCGGAAGCTCTCTCTCTCTCTCTGCCAGACCTTCATCTAAAAAAAAAAAAAAATGGAAGGAAAAAACCTTAATTGTTTTCAAACAGATATGAAACTAGATTACTTGCATAAGTCAATGTAACAGTTTTTATAAAAAATCACTACAGACGAAATTTTGATAAAAAGAACGGTAGTTTAAAAAAAAATATGAATATGTTGTTCATTCGTGAAATGTACAGCATAGAGTTATGCATCAAATAGCATATAGATTGAATGTCCTTGTCAATTTTGGCGATACATGCACATTAGTTGGAGTTTTTCAAGAACAATTCTGCATGGCTCTTGAAAAATAGCTCTAAATTTATCTCTAATAGCTCTAAATTTATTTTTTTAAAGCTTGGGATGCTGTTGACCAGTTGACGCAAACCTAGGATTTGGCTTCAAAAAGAGGTGTGCTATTTAGATGGTCAGTTTTAAGCACCAAATCCAGAAAATATTCCAGGATTGACTAACCATTGTTCATCACAGATACCAAGTAACTCAACTTGAGTAGCGCACCAATTTTAATACACTGGACTTAAAGTTATTCCACTGTCTTTCATTTTCCTGGTACATTCCGTTGCTTAAATTGTATAAAATCTTTTTATCACTATGCATGCAACTAATTCAAAATGCTAACATTGTTTGGCCTTAGCTTCCCTCCAACGATGTTACTATTTACATGAATCCTTAAAAATGCCCCTTTAATTGCGTAATTGAAGTTTAGGTGAAGTCTTAATTAAAAAGAATGAGCCAAAAATGAGAAAAAGATGCTGCTTTCATGTTCTTAAAATATCATTATTCTTGAAAATGGAATTTACATTCTTATTGACTCAAAAATAATATTGAAATCAACAAAAACAAATCATTTTTTCAATTCTCGTATTCAACTGTAATTATAACAAAAAACAAGGCATTCGTGTACCATTAAAGTTGCACTATGGAATATATTATTCCATCTGACAAAATTCTCGAAGTTCAGTTATAAATTCTTCCTTGCAGTTTATTAAAAACCCGACATTCTCCATGGTCCACTTCAATAGGCCGAGGACGTTTTTTCTCTGCATTTATCTGTGCAATGTTTAATGTCCAAGCAAAACATTTGACTGGATGCACTCTATACGCAAAATAACTATGAAACATTAATCTTGTGGAAGGGGAATTTTTTTAAATAAATTTCAGCAGAAATTATGTAAAATCTATGTAAATAAAGTAGAATGTTTGTGCATATACTGTATACAAATCTGCAATTCTTTATCGATCCACATCATGGTTGGTGTACAGTGAGCAAAGAAAAACGGAGAACCCCGAATAACTTTTCATTTAATGTTAATCGTCATTCAATCCCTTTCTTCACGTTGTAGGACTTATTCTTAATAGTTCGAGGCGAAATTCTCGAATATGCTGACTAATTATTACAGATGATATTTTAAAACACGAAGTAAGACACAAAAAGTATTTTCTCTGAAAAATAACATGCATTTTTCTTAACGGTTCCATACTTCTGGCACCCAAAATATAAGTGGTCTTGGAAACCTGGTCCTCATAATTTGGTCATGAGAGCGATCCAAAGTTTGGATCCCTTTTAATGTTAATTTTACTTTTTGCGTATTCAAGTTATTACCTTATATTATCTGGAGATCTTTTTATGCGAATTTAAAAATTAATGCACACAATTATTAAATTCGTTTATCCAAAGATAATTCCAAGCGAAAAATAACTTTTGGTAAATATTTATCATTTTATTTAATAATTGTCGAAAAACTTTTGAATTGTAAGGCATTAAATTTTTACATCATTTTAAATTACGTAGTTTTACCTGGCAAAATACAAAATTTGACCGAAAACGGTTACAGAGAAATCGAATTTTAAATATACGACTTCCTAAAATTTCGAATCTCAGGAACTACTCAAATGATGTCGCTTTAATTTTGTATTTTGCCATGCATTATTACATATTTTCAAATAACGAAACAAAATTTTATAACTAACAATTCAAAATTTTTCGATTATCATATCTTTTGCTGTTGTTCATTTACGTAGCACTAGAGCTGCACAATGGGCTTTTGGCGACTGTCTGGGAAACATCCCTGAAGATGATCCGAAGACATGCCATCACAATTTTAATCCTCTGCAGAGAGGATGGCACCCTCGCTTCGGTAGCCCGACGACCTGTACACGAAGTCGAGCGCTTCCGGTTCACCCTATATTTACATATTACCCTATCTACCTATATTACCCTATATTATCCTATATTTTGAATGATAAGATCCGATTGATCAAAAGTTATTCAGGGTTAGCCTTTTTTTTTTGATTCGCTGTACAAAAGTTAACTCGGCATAAACGATTGTTGACTAGCCAGCATTGGCCCGATTGTCTTCTTAATCTGAATTTCTATGCTTTAATCGAAACTTGTGTTGTCTGCAGAATATTAGGCAGTTCTTTATTAAAGTATATTCCCCATTACCTTATGACCTCCTTGAATGCATCCAATATACACTTCGTATTGTTGAAAAAAACTAAAAAATAGTTTAGGTAAAGTAACAAAGTATACAATGAATAGATAAATTTTGTGCAGCTCTCAATACTGCAGGCCTAAAAATGACTTTTTTTGTTTGGTGTCAGATTTTTAAACTGATATTGACTCTCTACATACAGTGCGGGTACCAAAGTTTGAACCTCATAATGTTATTTTTACTTTTGGCGTATTTCGCAATATCTAAAAAATTTCGGAAGTGAATTGAAAAATTTTTGCGTTTAATTAATGAAATTTGTTTATACAAAGATAATTCTATGCAAAAGAAAATTTTTAAAAATATTTATAGCTTTTTTTTTTATTTATTTTTACTTTATAATTGCCAAAAAACTTAGAATTGTAAGGTATACAAGTTTTCAAACTACTTTAAAGTCTGCAATTACCTGGTAAAATACTAAATATGAGCGAAATCAGTTAAACAGTTCCCGAGAAATCGAATTTTAAATATATGAGTTTTTTAAACTTTGATTTCTCAGGAACCGCTATCACTCATATTTTGTATTTTACCATGTAAGATTACATATCTTAGAATGATGCAAAAAATTTGTACACCTTACAACGCAACATTTGTTTCGACTGCTATTCAATAAAATTATACGAATAATAAAAATAATAAATATATACAAAAGATTTTTACAATTATCTTTGAACAGACGAACTTCATAATTGTGTGCCAAAAGTTTCCAATTCACTTAAAAAAGTTCTCAAGATAATACGAAATACGCAAAAATGAATGACATTATGGGGGTATAAATTTTGGATATCTCTCCTGGCCAAACTCCGTTGGACTGATACAGAGAAAGTAAGTTTTTGTGTCTGATTTTATAGCTGAAAATATCGTCTGCACTAATTAATTAGCAAATTGGAATTCCTCCTTTCTTAACCATTAAGATTGAGTGCTTGAACATAAATCAGGATGCTTTTTACCATGTAAGATTACATATTTTAAAATGATGTAAAATATTGTGGACTTAAAAATTCAAAATTTTTTTGACTACTATTGGAACGCTGCATGGGACCATATTTCTCCGATTGCGGCTACCCCTTATATTTTAGGAGGCAGAGTTCCAAATCCATCGAAAAAACGTATATTTATTCTGAGAAAGTATATTTTTGTGTCTCATTTCGTAACTTAAAATATCGTCTGCATTCATTAACTAGCCGATTTAAGGTCACCTCCTCCAATCATTACTTTGCATCACAGAAAGTGAAAAGCCGATCACTACATCAGAAGTTATTCAGAGTGGTCCATTGTTTGGTATATTGTACATGCTGCTTTTGTATCAAGAAAGAAGATAGATTTTAATTGCCAGCTCATAACACTAAGAATCAGAGTAATTTCTTCATAAGTTATCTTGTCTTCTATAGCAGTATTTAAAACAAGGGTTTTTGAGAACAATTTATCATAATATAGTTTAAAAAAACCTTGTCATGCTTTGTCTAGCAAAATAGTTTACTTATGATAGTCAACCATTAATAACTTTTTTTTCTGCAAAAATCGTTTTGTAACTTTCAATAAGTAGAATATTTGAGTGTAATATCCTCCTTAGAGAAAAATTATAAAAGCTTTAAAAATATATTGCTTTAATAAATATGTGACTTAGAGGAAATTAAACTCTGACGTGCAATAATTTTTTTAAATAATTCCAAGCAATTAGTCTTTTTATTTATTTCATAAAAAATTACATAAATTTTAATTTTCATATTAAGGGATATTTATACAGTGTACTTCGTAATATTTTGTTATGAAACGAAATCCAGTTTCAAAGTAATTTTCGTGTCATAAATTTGTTCTCAAGAATAATTGAATAAATGTTTTTAAATTTCTTATACTTTACTGTTTAATTCATATTTTTATAAATTCATAAATTTTAATTTTCTGAATTTTTTATATCTATATCATGCATTTAAAAAGCCTTTTATTATGAAAAAAAAATCTTCTAGACGCAAAGTTATTCATAGGTCATAAATTTTCCAAAATTATTAATTTAATCCATTTTTGAAATATTTCATTTAATTTTCCGTTGTTATCTATAATTCCGACCAATGAGCATGAGACCAGTTTTATTTTAAAATAGACAACTTGCTTTGTGGAAATGTATAGTTGAAAAAATAAGTGTTAAAATATTTGTTAAATATTAAAATTATATAAAATGTTAAGCAACATTTTGCAAGATGGATCTCTGTATAATTAAAAAAAATACTTTTGCAATTAGAGAAAGCATTTTTTAGAGGAAAAATAAACTCAGAAAATGCTTTTAATTAAAAAAAACGAAGTAAATAATTTTTCAAGGTTATGTTATTCTTCTTTTTATTTCCTTCTTGAAAAATAATTTTATATTTTAAGATACAGAAACTGTTTTCATAAGTTTTACTTCCAGCTAATTCAAAGCGTTTCTACAAGGAACTAATTTTTTTTAACAAGAATAGCTCAAAATCAAAATTATTGTTAAGGAAACGATTATTTTTTCTTAAATATTTATTTTCATTTTCAAACTTTCAATATGCATATTCTTTAAAATTACACCTATCATTAATTTAGCATTTAAGTAAAAAACTTTAAATAATAAAAAAATCTCTTTTGAAGAAAAGATTAAATTTGAAATAAAACGAAAATAATTATCCTGCTCTTAAGCAAAAATTGAAAACATTTTGAATAAGTTTTTTAGAATAAAACCTTCCGAATTACAAATAATAAAGTGGTCACTATTACAATTTATAAAGTTTTAGTTTCAACAATCAAGTTAGTACTTGCTTAAAGTTCCCTTTTTTATTTTTTTGAGTTCTTGCACAATGTTTCGAATGCTGAGCTACTAGTGAGAATTTTTTTAAAACAAGCTCTGTAAACAAAAATAAAATAATGTATTCAAAGCTAACTACTTCGATGATAACTATTGCAACTTTTAATTAATATAACTTTTATAAATGTAGTACTTATTATTGAAATGATCTAAGGAAAGACTAGAGTCAAATTTAACTAACAAAGATGCAACTTTATTCTTACATTTGAATCCATGAAGAATATTGAACCAACAGTTATGATATTCAACTGAAGCTTTGAAACAAAACAAGAAAAAAATTTAATTACTACTGAACAAAGTACATTCAAAATTTTTGAACTTTGAGTTGTATCTAAGCAACAAGAGTTATGAATATGAAGTCGTTGAGGAATTTTTAAATCCTGATACGGCACAAAATACGTGTTTAAGAAAAATAAGACAGTTCGACCTTTCGTATTTTCAAAAATAGATAGTACACCTTGAAACGCTTCTATTTGAAAATGAACATAGCCATGTCTGAAAATGGAAAAAAAAAACATTTGATCCATTTTTCATATTAATTTTATGAGTATAGTTCTTTTTTTCTTCAAAGAATAAACTAATGAATCAAAATAAATTCGCAATGTGATATCGTCTATTCGTTATAAATCACTTGGTACATTATTTTCCATAATTTCCATTAAGGGTTTTTCATAAATTTCATTTTGAATCATACAACAAAATTTAATAACAAATAGTAACCTACAGTGATGTTTCAAACAACAAAATGTGATGGTTTAAAGAAAAAAATGAAATTAAGCATATTGTATTAGAGGATGGTTCTATTTAATGACAATGTCATTTTTAATTACTCTAAATAAATAGAAAATATAATTCGCGGATAACCCCTTACCATTCAATGATTTCATTCAAAATTTACAAAAACTACGTAGGAAATCTCCAAATACGAATACAGAACAGAATTATGAAAGATATATATATACAGAGAGAGAGAGAGTATCTATAATGGACCAATATTTTATGTACGATACAAGGTTTTTTCTAAAAACCTATCTTATTATATATTTCTTTAATCCCTGTACGAAAATGAGATAAAAAGCCATAAAACTCTACAATTAATATTTAAAACGGAGAATAAATCTAACCAGTATCAAAATATAAGGAATCACAAATTCGAAATGCAGGTCTAGGAATATTCAGAACAAGTGTGTGAGTGCGTGGATATGTATATGTCAGCATAAAAGGTGGTTGGTACATTCTTATAAATAAAATACTCACTTTTTAATGAAAACTAAACAAAAAGCTAAATAAAGTAATTTTTTATTACGGTTAATTTATTCAAAGCGTTTGAATTTCGATCTTTATCTCTGCAAGAACAATGAATTCATTTTTTCAACTCAAACTTCAATAGTTCCACGAATTCTCTGATAATAGGTTCGTGCTCTTCTCTGCAATATCTTTTCGAGATCTCACTCTTTTCAAAAAACCAGAGAACCAGTTGAAAAGCGCTTTCATCACATTTATTCTGATTTAATTCTGTTCCAAAGCATCCGACTCCATAAAAAGTATCCCTGTAATAAAACTCAAATATCAGTGGAATGAAACATATTTTATTTCAAACTGTCAATGAAAAATGTGATAACAGACATAGGTGGGGATTTCTTTTATTTTAAATGCATGGATATCTACACAGATTTCGGGAATAAATAAGAGTTTCTAAAATGTAAAACGGTTTTGGACTGAGCTTTGAGCGTGTTTAATTTCATGAAGTTGTGACCTAGGGGGTTGATCAACTTTAAGCAAATAAGAGTCGAACAAATGGCCGAAACTGTGTGGATATGTCTACTTAAAAATTGTCGTCAAAATACTCATTGGATCGAAAATATTAAATTAGACGAGTGAAATATTTTCAAAGATGAATCCAATGATACCTAACTCGACCCCCAATCTCAGAACCTAAGAGAGGGGGTTGAGGAAACTTGAAAATCCTAAGTAGAAATCTCAATTTTTTGTTGCAAGATTTGTATTTTCCAGAAAGGAAACCCGATTTCACTTTCAGAAAATTAACCCAATGTCACTACCATTTCAGTTCATAGATGGCACTGTAATTGTAAAATGAAGATGTCTTAAGAATAGTATTAGAAATATTTCAAAAAATATAATTCAGAACGTAAAATTTCTTTTCTTGCATATGCTTATTTTTATTTACCTATCTATTAATAGTACAATGTATTAGTTTATATTTTTATGTGTGTTACAGTTTCTTCCTGTCCAAATGGTTGGGGAATTCAGTTGAAGTTTCCAGAGTAGAAATGCTAATTACAGAACAGTAAGGAACAGTCTGACAAAATTTCATTATCACAATTACCATTAACGCTTATCGAAAGGATAACTTAAATTAATTTTTGCTCAGTTTTTTACTCTGTGTCACTCTTTTAATTTCATGGGTGGTTGGCGTTGTTTTATTTTGGGAGGATAATTAAGATAGTTTTTAGCCCTTTCTATAAAGAGCGGATAATTGAACATTAACAAAACTGACATATATTCTGACACATTGGATTTCGATTGTATTTCTTTTTACGCTATTTCTATGTTTTGTTTTCTTTTCATAAATGGAGTATTTTCCAGCATACATGAGGGGAAGGATTTCTTAGTTTCAGGTTCCTAGAACAAGTGTGTAGAAAGGCAGATAGACGAAAAAATTGCTAAACTAGGTCATATTAAAAATTACTTTTTCCTCAAATGTTAAAGTTTGCTTGAAGACTTTTTAATGAAGTTGTTTTATTTTTGTTTTCAATAATTTAGATCTTAAATTTATAAATAAACTTACAAGCAACGGGATAACTGCGTATATGGTTCTTCTTCGCCTCTGCTTATGATAGCATCAATTTGATCGTGGATATCTGGCTGTTCTAACTCCAAAACATCAAGATGTCTTCTACAGAAACCCACCTTTTGCAAATCGTCCACCGTATTGGCTATGCAGTCTGCGTTGTTAACTAAATCTGGAAAGAAAGCAAGTGTTAGTTTTTAGGTGTGTTCCACTTGATTTTGTGATATAACTGATAACAAATATATCATGGAGTGCCATTATTTTATATTAAAACTAAAATTGTATGAATTTATCATTTTCTTTCAAATAATTTGTAATGTAAGAAAAATGAAACAGTTTTCCATGATAACGGCTGTATACAGGCTAAGAAGACTAGATAGGGTCAAAAATCATCAATCCTGGAAATATCAGTTATATCCTTAGAGATTTTAACGTGAGAAAAAAATTTGTTGCCTTCCTATACAACATATAAACAGCCTTGTTTCTAATTGACACGGAGTGAGAAAAGAAGAGAAGATCTTCTAAATTAGACAGTAAAGTGGAGGCTCATTAATTGTGTGGGATTGCTTCGGCTATCCTGGGACTTTCACCAGGCTGCATGATGGCTTTTTGATCGTCAGGAAATGCTAGAAATTTAATTATTATAACATGTTAATAGAATTTGCTGCTCACCTTGGATTTTTCGACAGGAAGGCATTTTCATTTGACATTGTAAAAGCGTACTAAGTTGTGGTTTTTCGATAATGGAGTGCATGTGAAGAGATATCAGGTTTATTTTCCGTAATTTAAATTCCCAAGAAAACAACAGTTTCAGTTTAGGGCAGAGGTGATATCATTGCAAGTTAGAATGCTATTGATGGTACTGTCTTCCAGGAATTAATAGATCGTACATTTTTGTCTTATAAAAGCATGCCGAATATGTGTGCTATTAAAAGTTGTAGCTTTAACTCTCATTCGATTTTTTTCTCTACTCTGTTTAGAAACATTGTTAGTTATTCCTTGTAAATACACATTTGTATACGTCTTTTTTTTTAAAAATGTATTTTGTTTTTATTGGGTCGCTTCATGTCCGTTAATGGAACACAATCAAGTCGGTTTATTTCATTCAGTTAATTGCTCCAGAAAAAGATAATTCATCTGGAATATTTTCAAAGTTTGGGGTAAAAGATATAGATTTGAATTTCTTGAAATAAACGTTTACCTTAATCCAAGAACTAGACATAAAAATTATCCCTATAAATAAAAACGCAAAACTGTGCTTTTGACAATTTAAATACTCTAAGAAATAAATAAGGGTATAATAAAACTTTATTAACGCACGTCATTTGCTTGACTTATTTTATCCGGAATAAACGTGGCAGCTTGAAAACAGAAAATGTTTTATTGCCTTATATTTTATTTTCATTTATATACCACAAAATAGGGCCCACGCTGGACCCCGAATTACATTAAAATTTTCTATTTATATCTCCTTGAATTTTCTTTTTCATAATATGCTTATTTTTCACTCATTGACTTTCCTAGTCCGGTGTTACTAACTGTATTTTTCTATTATTCTAAGAAATAAGAAAGTAGTAAAAACATTTACAAAATTTAGAGCTTTATTTTTACGAGAGTTCCATAAGGTATCCCGCTTCGCCATTTTTAATGATGACAAAAATTTCATCTTCTCTTCTCCTTGTTTCCGACTTTTTACTCGTCAGCGGATTTATGGATCTGGTCTGACATCGTCAGACCTTTGGAGATAAGTAACAATAACACCAAAAATTTAATACAGTAAAATATTTATTGATTAATAGCATCTCTGAATTAAAGTCATGTTTCTCATTTTTTACTTTAGAATTTTATTGGATTTAGTGAATTTTTACTGAAACTTTTTATTTATAGCTGCAGTTTGGCATAACGATTGCATTGATAGCATACACTATCTAGCCGAAAGTACCCAAACACACATCCAAATTCTCAGAGATTAAGTATGTTTTTTTTACAGTATGGCTTTGGTCCTTTAAATATAAATGAGGGTCGGTAGGGCTCTGGGCCCATATCCGAGAGTTCGTGAGTTTGAACCCCGCCGGCCGAAAACTCCTCGTGTAGTAAAGTAACTGATGCACGTTAAATCTTTCGAGTCGCAAAAGTCTTTCATGTTCCCATAAAAAATCAAAACCTCTGGAGGTACTGGATTGGAGATCGATAGTTCTCTGATTCAGGTCAAAATTACGATCTGCGGATGAATGAATGGATGTATGAATGGGTTCACCCTATAAACGGATGCGACGTATGGTGTGGCAGAAGTCGAATTCTTGGCCATAGATGGCGCCACTGAAAAATAAAAAGCGCACACTCTGACTTAAATCTGCTCGGTTTCACCAAGTAGGCTTGCCGTGTGGCAAATGACATTAGAAACAACAACATATATAAATGGTGTAATAACACAACGTATATATATATATAATTANTATATATGTAACAAATAATCAAACTAGCAAACAAGTAATCTAATAATCAAAAATAGGTTTTACTTCCGTAAATTGGAGAATCTTTATCACAAAGGTTTAACAATACACCATTTTTAAATACTGGCTTGGAAGGCAATTCCTCTTCATCAAGGTCACAACTTTCAATAAATTCGGAAGCACAATTGTGGTAAGAGATCAAATTTCTGAATGAAAAATACAAAAATGAGTCAGGTAGAAAAAAGCAGTTTTTGATCAAATAAAAAACCATACTTTTTTCAACTTTACATACTTTTTAAAACTTTTATTACATATAGATGAAAAGCTGATACAATCTTTTGCAAAAGTTTACCGAATGAAAAGCAAAAATGTTTAATCAAAAGTTAAGAAAGTAATCAACATGCTAAATTTTTATGCTTAATTTGTGGTTTAAAAATGGGAAACTTAAATATGGAAAACATTAAATGGGAAACATTATTATTCATTCAAGGCACATATATTGCTCAGTGTGTTTAAGAATCAGGAATTACGACAATGTCTTTAATTTTTCGCCAATTACCGTCATGGGTAATAGATCGCCATATTAGATAACCTCGGGAAAAGATATCGTTTCTCTCTGTAGCTTTATCTTCTTTAAGGTTGGCTCTTACAGTCTTTAAAATAAAATAATAAAATTAAAATGATAAGCAAATGCGTCATAAGGCATTTTAATGAATTGATTTCTTTTAATTTCAGGTTTTTAGCTTCAGAGTAGTGTCACCCTAATCATTGTATATTACTTTTAAATTGGTCTTTTTTAGCTAATTCGGAACTACTTAAAATTGTGTGATTCCTTTAACTTTTTCTACCATGTCTTAAAAAATTTGCTAGACTGATGCAAACCTGGCTTACTCTTGTTTTATGAATTAGCAATGAAGTGTGATTCATAAATTTGATATTTCGTTCCCACTTTCCCCTCTTAGCAATGGGAGTCAATACACAACAACAATTTAATGAGCCGAAACATATTAATTATGCGGCAGGTTTTTGAATGCCTCATAGTTGAGCCCCGAAAGATTTTTCTTTAGCTAATTGAGAAACTGATTAAGGAAGACTCAAAAGTAAAACTCAGCTTTTAAACACTCCCACCTTTTGCTTGCATAAATCTTTGTCTCTATCACTAATTGTAAGAATTCGTACGAATTCTGATAAATAGTTACTAGTTGAACAATTCTGAAATTAGACACCGTAGAGATAGATGTTTGCTGTACAAGGAATATGGCCGGGATAGCCTAGTTGGTAGGACGTTGGGCCCATGTCCAAGACGTCGTGATGTTATATATGCTGCACGTTAAATCTGTCGGGTGAAAGACTGGTTGACCTGGTTGGTAGAGAGCTGGACTCGTGTTCGTGAGAGCGAGAGTTCGAATCCAGTCGGCCGAAGAATCCCTATGAATTAAAGCGTGAATGGTGCATGTTAAATCTTTTCGAGTTCTAAGGACCTCGAAGTTCCCATGACACATCAATAACTCTGGGGGAACCATGGTGGCTCAGAGGAACTGGGTTCGAACCAGCGACGGCAGGTTGATACGAATTCCCCACCCTGCTCGCACCGATCACAGTGTTGAAATAAAGTATCCTCAGTGGTAGACGGATCATGTCAAGCTAACCATGGGAAGTTTTCATGCTTTTCCTCTCCATGTAATGCAAATGCGTGTTAGTTCCCTCAAAAACTCCTCCACGAACGTAAATTTCTTCCTATACTTGATCCAGGAGTTCCCTTGTCTTCTGCATTGGGTTCAAAATTACAAGGTTACGGAGTAGAACTAAGGTAGCAACTTAAATTTGGGTCAGCTTCTCAACGATGGTTATTGAAAAAATATCTGTCATTTCACAAAATCCTCCATATTCTCCTAACAAATCATATCTCTGGGGGGTACTGAATTGGAGATTGATCATTCTCTGGTTCAGGTCAAAATTACGGTGATTGACCGAATGTATGACGGAGTCCATCTTATAAACGGGCAGTGACGTGTGTGTTGGCTGAAGTCGTATTCTTGGTGTTGCCATCGAAACTGCCTTAAACTCGCTTGCATTTCACCAAACAGGCATGCTAGTATTGGCAAGGACCATTAAATACAAAAACAATTACAAGGAGTATATTTTTTTCTACTCTGGTATACCAGCTTCGTTAGAAAAAATTTTGGTTTGTAATTTTTTCAAACTATAATTAAAAACAAGAAATAAAAAGTCGTATTTCGGTAATTTGCACAGAAAAAAAAAATTGGAGGCACAGTTGTGGAACATTCTAAACCCTCTCTAATAATTATTTTATATGGAGTCTGAAAAGTTACGGCGGGAAAAGGCAAAAACGTGAGAAAAGAAAGTTAGTTTTGTTAGTGTTGAAACCGGTATGCATTAAAATAAAAATATATCAACTTATTTTACTTTTTCAAACAATAAAATAAGCATAAGCTTATGGCTCTTCTAGATGAATAAACACCTTTACTTCATCGCGTTTGCTCTCAAGTGCGTAGTTTATTTCTTTTACTTCAAAAAGTATATATTACCTAAATTTATTAATTATCATTAGCATCAATAATAATATGTCAATTTTTCAATTTTCTCTTAAACAAAATAAGAGTCACTTTCCCATTAATTTTGACTTTAAATATATAAATATTTTTTCTATTCAATTACCGTTTATTTTAAGTAATTATTTGTTTTAGAAAAAAGTTTAAAAATAATTAATATAAATAAAAGAAGACGTGATATTAGATTTAAAAGTATGAATTTTGTGACGCAGTCCACGAGTGATACCACTGAATGAAATTCATTGTTAAAGTTACGTGGCATAGCTAATATAAAAAAATTAAATATTTACTTTGAATACATGCAATAAACTCTTTTTTCTTTCAAATAAGCTAGCAAATATGACTGGTGTTATCTTTAGAATATGGGATAAGTTGAATCGTTATAGTTAAATTTAAGACAATGACTAACCCTTAGTCTATTAGAACATCCCGTTTCGTTTTTTGCTCATCCCGCTTGAACGGTTCATCGTAGAATGTTCTAACGTCGAAGGTGCCTTTTTCTCGTGTTTTAAATTATCTATTATGCAAAATTTCATCGATTTCGGTTGGATGGTTTAGGAGTGTATGAATGATACACACACGCACAGACATTCATTTTTATATATGTAGATAATCAAATATATATATCGAATTATTATCGATTTTATCATCAGTAAAGTGGAAAAAGCATAAAAAAACATGAAAACCAGTTCGATTGGTGGGAGAAAATGACATTTGGTTTGCGACTTTTTCTGAAAATTTAAAGTTTACATTAATAATCAAACTGGTTTTGATCCATTTATTCCGTTTGTCAATGCGGTAATTAACGTACTGTGGCAATTGCGCACGGGTCTACCGAAGATAGTACTTTTACCTGCAAAGCAAGTCAACTTCATCAGGCGTTCTGGGAAAATGCTCATTTAGTGGGACATCACATACTCTATAAAGAGGCTTGTCACAGTGGCTGATTTCACTTTCCTCCCCAGGAATCAGTATCCCTGTAAATAATAATTAAAATTTAGAAATACTATTATTAAGTAAATATTATAAGAGATAAATGTTTCAAGGAAAATGGGATATCCAAAAAATATCAGATGTATAAAATGCCTTACTTTGAATCTGTCACCTTCTTATTGATATCTGCCACCTAAAATGTATTCTATTTTCTCGCATTACTATTGAACTTCAAACCACTTTTAAAACTTTATTCTTTTGTGTTCACCTTAGCTTTTTTCTGATGTTCTAACTTATTAATACATTTATAGCAAGTAGAAAATCAATCTTAAAAGATAGTGCTCGTAAAAGTCATAGTCTCCTGTAAATTTTCATAAATTTTAAGGAAATTAAGTATTTTTATTGGTATTTTAAAGGATAGTGTTCGTTACAATTATAATATTTTTCGCAATTGCGTATATTTTGCGAAGTAACCGACAATATTTGCTTCAATTTCGGTTTGTGAACCACTGTGAAAGTCTCTATAAAAATAGTTAAGGTACTTTTTTGGAATGCTATTCAATTCATGATGTCTTCGACATTCTTAAAAAATTTACATTTTATCAATTTTTTCTGTATTGTAGGCATCATGTATTGATTGGGAATATGAATCATTCGCCATATTCAAATCAATGGAAATCATTTGCGGCATTCCTAAAGATACTGTTTAGGTCTATACTGATGGTAGTCGTAGTATGGTCCATACTGATCGTACTGGCAGTGCCATTTACATTAGAACCCCTCTCCTTGAGACCATACTTAAACGACACAGCTCTGATTATTGTTCTGTCTTTAGAAGGGAACTAATTGCGATCAATGTAGGGTTTGATGCTATCTTGTTCCACGAAAGTGATTTTAGAGAATTATGGATATTATTTGACAGCCGCAACTCACAACAATATCTAAGTGGTTGGTCCTCTGCAAGTGACAAACTTAGTGGTAACTCTTTACTTAGAGGTAACTCTGTTCCATTAAAAGATCATCTATCGTGGTGTATACCACTTACACATCACTGGTATCATAGGACATCGCCTGGTAACCTGTTGGACATAAAAAGGGACCGCAGAATCCCGACTGGTTTGGCCAAAATTGCAAGTCGCCATTTTAAGTGCCATACTTTTGGGGGAGGCAGAAAGATCTTCTCTACTTGCAAAAAATGCTGTGTTCAACCAGCTTAACCAAAAACAAATGTACTAATTCTAGGTTACTGTAATTATAAATTTTAATGTGTTTGAAAAACACAAGTTCCAAGAACTAGATCTAAAAGCACTAGATCTAAGATTTATGTACGACATTTGACTACAGCACATAGGTGTAAAGTAGTTGCAATCGTTTTTGGAGTTGGGATAAACTAAAATGTTTTGCAGTGTGTGTCCTTTACAAAATATTTTCATGAATTATTATATCAGACCTGCAAATCATTCTCTTATTTCAGTCATTCAACCTAAATTTAGAATTTACTATTTGAAATCATGTAATTTAACCACTTACGCTTACAAGAAATTCATAGATATGTTTACAAATTCAACTCGCTGAAAGACCAAATCAGCTGTACTTCAACTCACTGAAGGACGCAATGCGTGTTATACTTTACAAAAATCGGAACAATCTTGGTTTATCTATTATATGCGTAAAAACGTCTTGCTTACTAATGCAATAATTGTTCGTCGACTTGTGGCATTAGCGAATTTGTGGCAAATATATCTTAATGTGGGGACAACGCATTTCTCGTTAAAAAAATTGCTTAGCTTTTATTATTTTTCTACGAACATATTTTTAATAATTGATAAATTAAAAAGAACGAATACAATAAACAATTATTAAAAATTACTGTTGTGAATTAATATAATATATATATATATANATATTAACCACTCATATAATTACCAACACATTTCTTTCATTGTTTGTCATAATACAGTCTCCCTTTTTCTACTCCTCTCCTTTTAGATTCTAATATATATATATATATAGTCGCTCATTTCGTTCAATTATTGGGGTCATTCCTTTTATTTTAGACGTAACATCAAAAAATAATTAAAATAAGGAAAATATGGCTTTATATTCGATTTCTAAACTATAATTATATCTGCACTAATTTATTAGAATATTTTATATGAACCCTTTAAATTCGTGATGATTGTATCTTATGTTAAAATAGAATTATTAGGTAAACATTATTAGTCATTTTTGTCACTATTCACAGAAATAAAGAAAGTAAAAAATTATTTTACTGGATAAAAATTTTATTAACATTCATGATATCTATTTCACGAAAGTGAGTTGCCTCAGAAAGACAGTTATGTATATTTTAAAAATATTAAAATCAATAACTTCTTAAATCCTGATTAATTAAAAAAAATTCATTTGTTTTATGTAATGCGCAGAATATATTTATTCAAATAATAAATCTTCATACCTTTGGCAAATGCTGCGAGGAAAATTAAGAACCACCACATTTTCTGAGGAGAATGATTTAAATGATTTTAAATAACTATCACGGGTAGCAAATTGTTTCAATAACTTCTACATATCCGGTCCGAAAGGAAACATGTTTAATGTGATAATTGTGTGTACATATCCGTTTTTTTACCTTACGTCATAAAACAATATTATATCTAATGAAATAAGTATTATTAATCAGAAAACAGTTATTAAACATAATGAGTACGAAAATGAGAATGTGAATAAAATTAAAAAAGTTTTATTTAAAAGCTATTTAAGGTACCGAAGTTGTTGTTTTATACAATTGAAGTAAGTAAACTTTAAACAAAGCCATCACATATGCACGATGATGAAAAGAATGTGACCAAAATGAAAGGGAAAAATATGTATACTAAAAAAACCCATATAGAGTTATTTCGTCGTTTTATAGTGCCGCTAGATGGGGTTACAAAGCAAAGTAATATACAAAGACAATATCCAAATATCATTCTAAATTATCTTATTTTAGCTGTATTTCCAAAGATGTTTCAATAATACCACGGGAGGTGCTCGGAAAGTATGCTTTTCTGTTGCAGCGGCAGAATAAGTTTAAAATACACCTTACATGTCTGAGAAATAAAACTATTTCTGAAAGTCTGGCTAAGACTTATGAGTATTTCCAGTCGTACTATTGATCATAAATAGGTAACATGAAAAATGTTGCCTTTTTTGTATATTTCGCATAATTTTGGACTCCATCTAGTCTCTGGATAACGTTTAAGACTTGATGCATCTATGTAATTTCTCATATTTTTTGTATGCAAATTTTGCCCTTTAAGTCTTGTAACTTTTTTTAAAAAAATAGCTGTATATACTTTAAACAATGCATATGAAAAATGCAGTTAAATTATAGTCCCGACAGCGATGATTTCACAATTTAGCAGTCTGCAGAATATTCAGAGAGGTCTAATAACGAAAATACTATGATTCAGGTCGTGACATCACACAATAAACATCATATTTTATTCACTGTTTCCAGTCAACATTTTGAATTGTTTTAATGAATCCTCTACATCCTTATCTATGTTTTATTCTTGACTACCATAATCTTATAATTTATGTTTTTTTTCAATATATATATATACATATAAATCAGGTAAAATCCGTCAGTTCATGGAGGAAATATTCTCAAATCAAATAAAGCCCAATCCTAATTGTTAACCCTATAATTCGAAGCCCTGAATGAAAACTTTAAAGTGCATCTTATCATGTAGAAGCGTAGAATAATTTTTGTAAATACGACTTCTTTGTACTCGTTTCAGTCGTTAGGAAACTATAACAACACCATTTCACAACCCCTTATACGTGTTTTTGAAAATAACTGCGTTTAAAACAAAAATTTTCTTAATTTGCTCATGCTTTGTTACTGGCCAGTTGGAAAAATGAAAGGAGGTAAAAAAAAGGCATTATCAAAAAAACATTCAAGTAACATTCGTCTGTTAAACTGTAGTTTGATGTCTTATATCGCACATTTTCAATAGTTATTCGTCACATTTTTTTGTCACTCGCAGATGTCACCAAAGTATTTGTTCCAAAGATTCAAAAAATATATTGGTGATTCTTTTTAAACATTACAATTCGGACCAAAAAATTTCTTCAAATTTAAAGTCTTCGAAATAATCTAAAATTTTTTGCATACTTCTTTAGTTACATTTATTAATATCTTAGATAGCAGTGTAGTTTATTGACATTTACTCGAGGAAAAAAAATAGAAATTCACCAAATCTTGAATGCCAGGAAGATGGCATATTAGGCTAGAAGTTTAAAAAACTGTCATTTTAAGTTAATAGTAAGTAACTCAACTTAAGCCTTTATGTTAGATGGACCATAAATTGCTTAAATTAATTCTTTTTATCTACTGTAGAAATAATATTTTTTTTGTTGTTGCTGATATGTACAGAAAGGAATTGTGTATAATAATCAATCATTAAATAAATAAATAACTTTTATTGCATCCAACCATATTACAATCATGCTTAAACTTGGTATTTGGTTAATATTTGTTTTTCCTCCTTACAGTATTAGCAGTTAAAAAAAGTTTTTTGTAACACTTCAATGTCCTGGAATTCATAAGCCAGGAAACAGACAGCCAGGTTAATGATACTGAAAGAAATTCAAATTCACCATTTTATAGCATATAACTTTACTTTAATTTAATATTTTGGACTAAGACGTTTACATTCTGCAGAAAACAACGGGGTTTCTTAAAATAACTCAGATAAATCTATGCAGTTGATGTTATTAATGATTTCAAGAAGCCAGGAAAATGACAACACAAAAACCTACTCATCTTGAAAAATGTTTTGAAATAGATTTTGAACCAGAAAATTGGTTCTTTATTCATTCAACAAGACATGTTCATATAGGAGGGTATCTAATCAATCTATTAGCATAAGATATTGATTGCTGGCTCTTTCTATTTTGGTTATAAACCACTAAGTAAAAGTAGCCAGAAAAATGACAGATTTACTTGGGACAAACAAATTATTGACAGAAAATATTATTTTAAACGAATTTTTTTTAAATAATACCCTCTGCGTATATTCTAGAAATGCTTACATCGGTTGAGATAAAAAAAAATTAGATATTGAGAAATTTATGGGAAGTTTTGAAGCTAGTTATTATTTGAAACATTGCTTGGGACATGCTAGGAAAAGGACATTTTGAAGTTCAATTAAATTTTTTAAATATACAAAACAGTCAATGCTAGTGCAAAGTCATTTTAAAATGCTAACAGTAATGCAATTTATTAATTTTTTAAAAAAACGTTCTTTTAGTATTATAGTATTAGATCTTGGAGCAAGGGACAGTGAAATGCCATACTTCGTGAGAATCACCGATATGTCAAAGACGGTGATTACGCAGCACTGATTTATCACTGCCCATGGTATCAAATTTTTATAGGAATTATTTTGAAATACAAAATCAAGTAAGGTCTCCATATTGCGATGGGATTTATTTATCGCGATTTAAAATACCTTAACGTTAAGCGAAAAATTCGAAGTAAATTTTATGAAACTATGCAATAAAGATTTATTATTGTGAAAATAAGTGAATCATAAGATTAAAATACTAAAATTATATATTTTTTTAAAAACTACATGCATTAGCCAGGTATTTATTAGTAAAAATGATTGATCAGAAATATGAATTTTCATTAGTTCTAAGTACTATAAATTTAAGTAACTCAATTTTACGATTAGTGATATGTTCCAACAAGCAGAAAAAGAAGAAAAGTATTGAAAGAAAGATTTATAAGAGAATTAATTAGGAAAAAATATAATTTTCTTTCGTAATTGACTCTCTTCAAAACTGAGTAAATTGCTCTTATTTCAAGAGAACAGTTGTTTTCCACGCATTCATTGTAATAAATGAAATTAATAAACTATCTACTGTATTAACCACTAAAAATATGATCATCCAATGTAATATATTAACCACTCATATAATTACCAACACATTTCTTTCATTGTTTGTCATAATACAGTCTCCCTTTTTCTACTCCTCTCCTTTTAGATTCTACCTATTTTCATCGACTGTGTGAAGCGAAGATCCTTCAATGTACACTTTTTGGCGGTTTGCTACAATTACTTTAAACAAATCGTAGAGTTGTAGAAATGTTTGAAAAAGGTTTTTTTTCTACCTGATGATTTTTTTACCTTAATTCCATTATAAATACCCTTTTAAATACCTCTTTCAATCTGTTTGAATAGTGAAGAATATATCTATAGATATAAAAATGAATGTCTGTCTGACGGTGTGTCTTTCACAAACTTCTAAACTATACGACCGAAAGCATTAAAATTTGGCCTACAGATAGTTTGAAGCACGACGTCACTGTCGACGTTAAAGCATTCTACGACTAACAGTTTGAGCGGGATGAGCGAAATATGAAATGGAATTTTCTGATTGGTTATGCATTAGTCATTGTTCTAAATTTTACTAGAGACTATTCAATTTTCAAATATTTTAAAGATAACATCAGTGATATTTGCTAGCTCATAACTCTATTTCATCAAAAAAAGTTTCTTGCACGCACTTTAATATTTATTTTTTATTCACTATGTCAGTATTCGCGATCGCAACGAACTATAGGGGGCGTTGTTGTATGAGACTAATACCTGCGATTTCTATATGAACAGTCATTCAGTTACTCTAGAGACGTCGTTAATGTAGCACGTAGCATTGCAACGTTCCTTCTTTATTGTGGCTAATTAAATTTAAAAAAGAAAAATGCTTGATATTCTTTCTTATGCAAACGAAAACAAAATGGTATCTCTTTTTATTAGAGAAGGAATATCCAAAACACATCGGAAAAATATTTGTACATTAACAGAAAAAAATATGTATATTCTTATAAGAGTTAAAACCTAATGCCCGAGAAATAGTATTACTAAATTTAATGATATAACATGAAAGGCCCATTTAAACTTTACATTCTATAGTTTTAAGAATCATATTAGTTCAAAAATTAAAATGAACAAAAAGTATACATAAGCCTCATAATTTTATGAAATTTAATTTTGTAAACAACGTTTTTTGACAACAATTTTTATCAAAAAATTTCAAGTTTCAATAAAAATCATTATTTAGAAACTAAGAAACGTAAAATAAAGAATGCTGACGAAACAAAAACAAAAAAAAAAAAAAATTTCTTTTTTGTCGCCATTTTTAGTGCTACGAATATTCGTCTTTGGGATTTGCCAAAAACAAAACAAGATGCAATTTTATTTTTTCAGGAGGGAAATATTTTACCGAAAAAACGAAAATGTACCAATTCCCACAACATAAAACTTTATCTTGGCAAACGTACGTTTTGGAAATGTTATTTCATTTGGAATCTTATTCATCAGAGTTCATATGGCGATATGATTGTTTTGAATCTATGCTAAACTCTATATCGGCTCATTTTCCACCGAAATCCAATTAACTATTTTGATTTTAAATAAAGTGTTTTATTTTATGAACTGTCGCAAAAATTTTAAGTGTAGATTGGCGGCACTTAAAAACCGCCAAATCTGTAGCGGCGGTGGCGTTAATACGTCGTAAGTACCGAATTTTTATTC